TATACGATCACGGCGGGCATGAGTTAACACTGTCTTTCATTCTGTTAAGTCCTCGGTTCTCTCGTGCATGTTTGAAGTATAATTTTGGTTTTTCGTGTTTCAAAGTGCACAATCGTTAATCGGTCAACCATTTCTAATAGTGAATTTAATATAGCATGGGTTACTGATCTCTGCGTTATTTACGACGAAAAGCATTTTCTGTGTTTCACGATCAATCGGTAGCCGATTCATTAATACTCCCAATTTTAAAACAAATTAAACATTATTCTCAGATGGTTGTTCAAATCCAGTTCCGCTAATTTTTAATTACTTTTGTAAAATTAAGCCACAATTTTCATGTTCTCAACATGTTACCCTTTACGATGTGATCATGTTTTGTCCGTCTGAGAAAGAAATGTAAAGGTTTTGTTTTCAATTCTGAAACATTCAATTCCATTTTTATCGACGTGATGTGAACATCACTTTATTGGGCTTCGCTTGTTTGGCACAAGGATATTCACGAACAACTGTTAGCAACATTTACTTCAGTTACTATAGACACATTTAAAACATGGCGACAGACTTTAAATAACACATTGGTTGACGAATCAGCCCTCTATAAACAAATTGTAAGTAAAACGGTAAATGGAAAGCTGTGGAGTTTATGTATGACATTTAGCAGTGATACACATAAAGGACAGAATTCCTGTATATACGCTCCCTGCATCCTAGCTATCATTCACCCGATGAAGGATGAATATACAACGAAAAATGTTGTGTTCTTTATGCTAAGGAAACTGACATCTGTAACGTTACGGAAATCCGTGGGTTTTTTCCATTCCACCGACCAGAGGGAAGAACTTTGTTACCGTTTGGTTAAAACCCCACGAGTGAGTGAGTGAGTACGGTTTCACGCAGCTTTAAGCAATATTCCAGCAATATCATGGCGGGGGACACCAGAAATGGGCTTCATACAGTGTACCCGTGTGGGGAATCGAACCCGAGTTTTCGGCGTGACGAGCGAGCGCTTTAACCACTGGGCTACCCCACCGCCCCATAAAAAACCATGAATATAAGCACATTATATAAAATGTTACAATTTAACATGTGAAAATGCATCTTACAAACGAAATATAAGGATTCCTTATTCCTGCCTACCCTCACTTTCATTCTTTTTCCCCCCCTCATCCTTGAATAAAACCAATCTAAAATTGGATATTTAAAAAGAAATGTAGACCCTCCAGCCAAAATTCTGGGACACAAAACCCACATGTACTTCTGTTCAGAGCGGTCTGGAAAACTAAACTTTCCTTCCATTAATTGAAATGCGACTCGGGATTATTGTTTGAAAATATTCATTCCCATGATAGCATTTGTTGAAAAGTCTACACTGTGGTCGTGCTATTGTATGCAGCGGACAATTATTGTGAAGAAAAAACCGAACACGGGTGGATGATCCGACCTGGAGACGTCCGCACCTCTAGTGAAACCCAGTAACATAATCTGTCATAATCCACGGATAACGCGGAAATGTGTTTGTACAGGGTCACACGGGGTATTAGTAGAACGTATGATGCCGGCTGACGTCACAAACGCAATTGTATTGTGTCTATTGCGTCACTATGAGTAAAGACACAATGTTGAAATGGTTCGATTTTATTATGTGAAAGAAACAGAGTACTGTACCCGTGCCTGCCAGTTGTAATATATATCTTACAATTGGCTGTTTCGAGACGGATAGGGGGCGGTGGGGGTACCCCGCGGTTAAAGCGTTCGCTCGTCACGCTGAAGACCCACATGGGTACAATGTGTTAAGCCCATTTCTGGTGTCACTCACTCACTCAACTCACTCACTCACTCGAAACGGATATGTACGACCAGAGACCTTGCCGCAGTGCACATTGTCCGTTATATGTGTGTAACGCATGCGCAATGTATACCTTTTCGCTCATATTATAAACTTATAAACACAAACACAAACACGCATCCGCTTCTTACGTCCCAACGCTTAATAGACCAGACCCCGTCACAATATGCAAACTCCCATGCCATTGAACACATACACACAATTCACCCTTCTCACATCAATATTGAATTACTCTAAACACACGGGGCGTTTGGATAGCCTAGTGGTTAATGCATTCGCTCGTCACGCCTTAGACCCGGGTTCGATTCCCCACATGGGTACAATGCGTGAAGACAATTTCAGGTGTCCCCCTGATACTACAGTGATATTGCTAAAACGGCGTAAAACTAAACTCACTCACTCTAAACACACACGCAGAGGGCTATTTCCGCGCATATTACATCAGTCGCATATATGAGTGTAGAAATGCACCATTCTAAAAACAAACATGCATCATTTTCATAGTTATTACACGCATTTGACACATTGAAATGACTTTATAACTAATACAGAGACGTGCTGATCTAATCACTGCACAAAACACTCACCTATTTAGACCTTGACATTTGAAATAAAATCTCGAAATATGGCGATAACTAATTAATGAAGATCGATGCATGTGTGCTGATACCTATGGGTGAAACCAAACTCTCCAAAACGCTAGGGATACATTAGGACCATGAGGATCTGTGTGAGAACTGGTCTTCAGTAACCCATGCTTGTAGTAAGAGGTGATTAACGGGAACTACTTCTTCAGTAACTCATGCTTTGTCGTAAGAGACGATTAATGGGATCGGGTGGCCAGGCCAGCTGACTTGGTTGACACATGTAATCGTATTCCAATTGCGTAGATCGATGCTCATGATGTCAATCACTTGATTCTCGGTATTTACGGTCGGAAATCTACTGAGTGCGGCGTTAAACAACAAACAAACAAAAGGAATAAATATAATCACTGAGGTCCGAGACATTTAAACTGACCCCCAATGTGTTAAAAGTAAATTTATTCCCCATACATTTTTCGTTACTTATAAGCAATTTGGTATCATTGCTCGTAATTTAAAATTATCTGACTGGAATTTCCGGTCCATCAATCACTTGATTGTTTGGTTTGTTTACAGTGAATTGTCTGGTTTGTTTACAGTGAATTACAGTTTGTTTACAGTTTGTTTAGTTTTACGCCACACCCAGCAATACTCCAGCTATATGACGGCAGTCTGTAAATAATCGAGTGGAGACCAGGGGCTCCTTTCACGAAGCAACCTTAACTAAGGTTAACCTTAACTCCCATTCTTTAACATTGCACTTAGGTTACCTAAGTGACTTAAGATCACCTTAGTGCTTCGTGAAAGGGGGCCTAGACAATCCAGTCATCAACGGCATGAGCATCGATCTACGCAATTGGGATACGACATGTGTCAACCAAGTCAGCGAGCCTGACCACCCTATCCTATCAGTCGCCTCTTACGACTAGCATGGGTTACTGAAGATAAATTCTAACCAGGATCATCACGGGTCACAGTTATGTTGACCATGCAGATGCCTATATTTTGTCGCGATATGGAACCATGGTATAACGGACACGGACGTAAATATTAACCTGGTGTAACCCGCTCCTATACCCACCAAACATGGATTCAGTCATGTTGTCACCTGTTTATTCAATTACAAAATGCCACGTATATAATCTCGGACAGAAATAGAGGAACGGTTCTAAAGAGTACGAAGTCTCTTTTGTAGATCATTCCGCAATGTAAATTCAAAGCTTCGTAAAGATGTATTAGCAATACTTAACTTTAGATGTGTCGCGGTTCAAAGAAAATGTCACAAAGCCGTCGTTGCGCAAAAAGAGATGGAACCAGTCAAATGTAATTGATCGCTAATTCATCAGCTATGGCGTCTTGGGCAAATCTTAGGATCGGATTTAGGTCATTCTCTGGGAGTGTTTGAAAATCTACAAACCTTGACTAATAACCACCCAGCTTCGAGTTAATAAATAGTGCTAATCCGGAGCCTTTGGCGAGGGACTTACTGCATTAATTCACGAGGGATAGATAATCCATAACTCTGTTTTGGTAAAGGATTCCTCACATTTTTCATTGAAATATCAACAAAGAAAATATCAACTGTATAGAGAAACGTCAGTGAATTCAGACTAGTGTTCAGCTGACGTCATGTAAGCAATACGTGACGTCATGAACAATGATTGACGTCATATAGTAACTTCTCAACAATTAAGCACTTTGACATGATAATGGCTTCAAGTGACCACTCTTGCTAAATTATGGTAACGTGCACATATGCAAATATCGAAATGTTATCTAAGAGATAAACATCATGTGTTGGCCAATTTCCGGGTGTTATTGAGTATTGAAGCACAGGAATTCGTTTGGAACCGACGGTGTTAACCGGGGGTATCAAATGAAATATTCCCGTGCTTCAAACACTCAAAAACACCCGGAAATTGGCCAACACATGATGTTTATCGACATTGTAAACATAAAAGTAAACCAAAAGGTCCACACGCGTTTTTCTGTCTGCACTCATTGAAAAAAGTACCGAGTATTTGAACGTATTGATACGCAGCGAAAAGTCTTGCACTTCGATCAGGTTTTTTCAACCAATCAGATTAAAGAACACAGTGACTTTTGGTTATCAATATGACTTCACTCATATTAGTAGAATATAATAGTATACTGCTCTGTGTGTGGACACAAGTCATCGTTGAATGTTTCGACGAACACTGTTTTATCAGAACATGATGGATGTTTTTGGATGGTATTTTCGAAACTCACTCTAGGTAGAACCGCCTTCGTAGTTTAATGGACAGTGTCAGCCTGGAGGTAGAAAGGACGATATTTCCATCTTATACAGCGTCCTACCATGGACGTTAGATGATGATACTTGTTTTTTAACATATTTTATTGACATAAAAGCTGAAATGGACTGAACAGAGGTTCTCCAACTTAGAAAACTCCGAGTTGTTTTTACCTTTCGCACGGCATTATGGGAACAGGCAGTGATTGATCAGTCAGTTTTGTGTGTCTAAGTAGTGTGTCAAATCAGTCCGAAACACTGAGTTTCAGTTGATCAAAAGAAAATAAAAATACAGAAATTCCCAATTTTCTTCATTTTACTTGTAGGTAGCGTTATCTGTCCTTGTTGGACTGGAATTAAAATCTTCTCTATCTTTTTGTCTCCCTGGTTGTCTTCTCTCAATCTGTTCGAAAATAAAACCATTTACACAAACATTTGGTTTAAAATACCTACAAAAGCCATTCATTTTACTATATTTAACATCTGGAATTTATTCCAATCATTTTCTGTAAATAACCATCAACCCACTTTCACTTCACATTACTTACTTTCACTTCACATTACTTACTTTCACTTTATATTACTTCACGGTCAGACAATATACATATATATGTTTGATTTTGTTTTCCAGGAAGGGCCATGTCACTCAGGAAGAGGCTGCAGCAAAGATCTGGCCGTCCAATTGGAATTTTCTCACCGGTTCACACAGAGATGTAAGTTGTAATGTAAGGAAATGTAAAGTATATAATACTCACTCATGGAATCACAGTGGTAGAGGTTTGACTCAGCATACGGAAGGCCTGGGTTCGATACACCCCTCAGAGGTGGTGAGGTAGCCTGGCGGTTAAAGTATCCGATGGCCCAGTTGGTTAAAGGTCCGCAATTTGCTGTGTAGAGCTGAGTCCCTATTCGTGCAAGAGAATGTCATCGTGGGTTCGAATCCCAGATTATGTTCTTAGGTTTGTAAGCACCGTATCCATGGATTTTACCAGCGTGGTGAACGTTTGAGACCTGTCTGGCGTCACGTGACTCGCTGTGGTATAGCTGAAATACCATTGACCTCGGCGTAAAACCAAAACTTACTTTTAACGATTGACGTACATGTATTTGTAAATCAACAAACATACAGAGACACAGGAAATTTCCCCACTAAAAACTTACACGTGAAGATCCGGGTTAGAACTGATCTTCAGTAACCAATGTTTGTCGTAAGAGGCGACTAACGGGATCGGGTGCTCAGGCTCGCTGACTTGGTTGACACATGTCATCGGTTCCCAATTACGTAGATCGATGCTTATGTTGTTGATCACTGGATTGTCTGGTCCAGACTCGATTATTTACAGATCGCCGCCATATAGCTTGAATATTGCTGAGTGCAGCGTAAAACAACAACCAAACCTTACTAAAAATTCACATTCTGGTTCCAATCAACTGTGCTAGATCTGCATGGTTAATGACCTTGATCTTGAAACATAAATATAGGTCACACAAATAAAAAATTATGTCCATTAATACTGACTAATCATTTCCTAATTTCAGCTCGTAAAGGATGAATTCCCCCAGGCGAGAAAGGGGAAACGGGAAATCCCAACGCTTATTCAAATAAGGCCTGTTACACCGATTGAAGAGTACATCAAAGTTCAACCTTCGCCTCGGCCATTTCCGTCAACTACCTCGCAGCAAATCGGATGGCGATCTACCCGCACGGAACACAAATTAGAGAAATATGGGAAATACGCCAAACCCAAAGGTGGTCTAGTGAAACAACTAAACTGGCCTCAGGAGGCGGTGGACTAAGTGCTTCAAATGGCTAGAGATTTTAAATAATTTGTATTATCACTACAGTATGATTGATTTTCATGTTAGGCATCAGACAAGGTTGCCGTTTCTGCTATATATAATTCATGCGATTTGCCGAAAGCTTTTGAAGGTTGACTTTCTTATGAATATATGTAAATTGTTTAAAGCCCTCACTGTAAAATGGATATGTCACATCTCTTTCTCTCGTGGAGTGTTACCTTAACGACTGCGTTCTCCGCTCTTGTAGTTTATTAATGCATTATAAACGAGACATTTTATACACTGAAAACCTCTGGACCATCGAACAAAATTCGAGTTATCTGCAGTTCTGGATAAGTGGGTATTAGGATGAGGAATCTATGGAGGCATAAAGTTTGATGTTTTAATCGATAATGATTTAATGGAGTTTGGGATAATGGTGGGATTAGTGCTTTAATCATTTGCTGGCCATGGTTTAACCTCCATTGGTGCATTTACAGTAACCAGCATAACCGATGAGTGCTTTATGACTGCAGAGTGCTTTATAAGACAGCTATGTCGGAAGAAGGACCACATTACGTATCGCAACTTTCATAAAAGAAATAACGGTAAAACAGATACTTTATTTGTTTATCCCTGCGTCCGGTGCCGGATTAATTCTACCCGTGCAAAGCAATTATTCACTTGTACGAGTTCAGTGCTATATATTTCCAAGTCATTTATGATATACTCGATGCGATCAATTAATGTTCACAAGAAAGATAGAATGACGCACAAAAGAAACTTTACGCTTGGAGCTGTGTGGTTATTAGTGTTGCCTTGGCAACACGTACACAATGTTTGTGACTTTAAGTCACAATCAAAACACCTTTAAATTTTTTCCGTTGTTTTTTGGCAAATAATCACCAAAAACAGGTGTATTTTCTTTTGTACGTAAGTAATATTATAAATACTTTGTGGCATTTGTGAAATCCTAAGATTGTTTTCCGGAAAAGTCGGCAGATTTTGAAACACTCCCCCCAAAATAACCTAAAATCTTCAGGGATCTTGATAGTGGCTGACGTGGTGAATGGACATCATAATAAACAACGGCACATGTTGTCAGCTGACTCAGACCCTTGCCTGGATAATGTTTGAAAGTAAGTTTACATCTCACAGACATGAGCTCCATATGAAATAACCTCTGAACTTATCGACCCCTCAAAGAAATTTCTGAAACGAATCTTCAAAGACCTTAACTTGCATTGATTCCATTCAGTGTGGATCTTAATTGAACTATCAAACTTCAATCTAAATTCTCTTGATATAAAAAGTGTAGCTTTGATATTGAATTGAAACGATAATTCTGCTATCAAGCTATGTTCTTTGAAATTTAGATATCATTTAACGCTTGAACATGAATCATATTTGCTGGTGTTCTAGTTCGTGTGTTACCCATTAAGTAGTTTTCATTTTAATAAAATATAAATCGACTTGTTAAAGTGCAAATTATCCCCAGAGCACGGACAGAGTGATATTGATTCCATTAAGAGTCTTAATATTTATTCCTCGCTTATTCATTGTTACATCGTAAAGAAAACGAAAACAATATACATTTTTTTTATTTATTAATTCAGTACGTGTATTGATATGCAAAACGTCCAAAGTTATTCCTGTGCTTTGTTGATAAAAAAAGTTGTCATTTATTAAAATGAATTAGAATTTTAAATTAATTGAAAAACCCCACGGGATAGTCTTCATTTTCAATTAAAATCAAACTGCATTCAAACCATCGATCCACTTGCAGATTCTCGAATGATGGTAGTAAACAAATTGTATGTGGTTATTCGAATGTATTTGGGTAATAATTTATCTAATTGATGGAAACAGCAGCTTTGAATAACTGCATTGTCACTTGCGACAGCGCAACGGCGGCCGATCCAGGGGGTCTGGGTTACCTTGTTCATACTGCATTACGGAGAGGGTCATTACAGCGTGATTTGTTTAGGCGCGGTATTCACATATTGTAATTTTCTAGCCATTTTCACACCTCATGTTTACATTAACAATAAACAGTCCTTTGACGGGCGTCTATTGTTACGTAATAATGACCAGCTGATCGGCCTCTGTTCCGCGTTTGCATCAAGGGGGATTAATATTGAGGCATCAACAGCCATTATTACGATTTAACAATACACTAAACTAAATTCAAAGATCCAGACAATCAACCATGCGCGAAAACATTTAGATTGAGATGATGTTGGTGAATAAATGATTTTCAAAGGGTTAGGTTATTCTCTGCTTCCAAGCTGTCGGACCTAAATATGTCAGGTAGAATTAGTTCAGCGATGACGGTACAATATGTAATGGTGTAACATCAAATATAGAATTATTGTTTTGAAAATAATATAAATAGAACAAGAATTTGTTGATAATCATGCCTAAACATGATCGGAACCACCTCGATGATGTATCGGGGATATTGGAATGTCGTTCACCACGTTCCTGCAAATGCGGTGCCTATTTTATCGAAGAATGTTTTGCAAGGTTTTACGATTTTAACAGCAGTTGATCAAAATGGTCTTGGGCATTGTTGTAAGACAGTCTCCTTATTCAAGTGAAAATAACCCACGTTAAACACCGCAACAATTGGTAACCGAATCTGTTGTGCTGTTCTAAATATAGAGCTTAGTCACCACGTCTGCTGATCAATATGTAGAATTATTCCTTGTAAAATTACATAAACACCACCTGAAGTATTATGTTATGTTGCGTGCGGTGCCTATGTCTGTATTTGGTCTGGCTTCGTCATCAGGATTGTCACAAAACGTTCTACTGTTAGGCAGTCAGATACACAGCGCATAACATTTGTCGGTGGCCTTTGACCAATGAACTGGACTCTGAAATAATTGGAAGACCTGGACTGATGTTGATATCATCCTTATTTGGGAATCTACAGAACAATAATTGAAGCCAAATCCAGCTCGCGTGCAGGGCGTATGCAGTAACTAATCACGTGATATAATTGACGTTTGAAAATGCTCTATGTAACCGAATCTCATTACTTTAGCCCTCATCGTGAAAAGATATTCGTCGACAACATTCGAATCACTGGCCATGTCCAATTTGATTATTTTCAACCACGGAGAAGATTGTTATTTCTCGTCGATCCTATCTTCGTCTGGGAACTGCATGCAAGTTTTGTTGAGATCAGCGGTCAGGAAAATGTGATTTTTTCATAACGTGAGAATACGATGCTGTGCGTCTGATATGAAAGACTTCTAGTTAAAAGAACTCTTTAATCTTAATTCATAAGGGGATTTTTGCATTTAATGAGAAGTATTATTTTTGATTATTCTTCATAAATGTCAAAAGAAAGAGGATTGACGTAATGCAATCTGCTCGTTGACTCTACGCCGGGCTGTTCTATATTTGGTGAAATTTACAATGGCGTTCACGAAACAGTCGGTAGTTGTAAAACTCAATCACCATTGAGATAAAAATCAAAACACTACATTAAAGATAACGATCAGAAGATGTCCCCGCGGACTGATAAACATGTATATAAAATATAGATAATTGCCACAAAGGCTGTAACTTTACTCAGCACTGTTCATCAACTTCTATTGATAAATATTTACTTTTTTCATAAATATAATAATTGCACGCGTATATATCTATATAAAGCTATTATTATTATTATAATAATTTGATTGTTATTCTTTTGTTGTTGTATACATTAACTCAAAGCATTTTCAAATGATAGAAACCGTCCGTGGTTATCACATTCTCACTGAAATATAATAATCATGTAATGTGTAATCAGATTTTATAAATAAATAAATAAATAAATAAATAAATAAATAAATAAATAAATAAATAAATAAATAAATAAATAAATAAATAAATAAATAAATAAATAAATAAATAAATAAATAAATATTTTGAACTGGCCCCAACATGTGATAATGTAATCAGAATAAACAAGCAAACAATATTTTGAACCAGCCCATGTATTCGCAGTGCACGTGCTGTTTGAGCGATGTAATCGTTGCAGACACTACATTTGTAATGCAGGTGCTTGTGTTAATGCACGAGATTAAACTGGTCAATAAACCATCAATTCGCTACACATCATCTACAGCTGAAACAACAGTGATGTAATTGCTATGTTTTAACCCTCGATACAAAACCTGTCTTCAACCAGAGAGTATCGTTTCAGAATAAAAGATCTGATCTTGAGAATGAAGATCTATACCACTGATCTGAAATACCTACTGACTTGCCTTGTATGCAAGAGGAAGTCTGTACTCACACACCTAATGTATACGACAAGTTGCCATCAGTGAAATTACAAATGTAGTGTCTCCAAGGCAGTGCACAAAGGCTGTTCTAATCATATCCCCATTTATCGCAGACACACTTCAATTTTAAGGCCATATAAAACTAATGGTATAAACAATATTATAAATAATAAAATGTATGTGATGATAAACTGAATCTATTTTCAAGCTATAATGTTCTCCATTATTTAACTCCAATCCATATACTCTTATGGCATTAGTATTATAGCTATCGCAATCAATAAGAACTTGGGCTTTCCTTCTCTTATGTATCTTGTACCATCCGGTAACGGCACTGTTTATAACCATGCGATGTATTTACTACAGTGTTAGATTATAGACACTCGTCATATCTTTGTGCGATTAAGGAGGTGACGCGCAAGATTTTCGTTTGGTACGTGTAAAAAATAGGTTTCATCAAATTAAGCTGAAGAAAAGTATTCCTGTATCAGCTGAAATATTTAATGGTTACTTACAAAGGGACTATGTCCTCATCGACCTGCTTCCAATTTCCGGCATGGACGTAAATAGTTCCTTATAATGGTAAAACATGGTCCATTTTATTTTGGGTATTTGTTCAATGTGCGGGTTGATAGGGCAATTGGTTCGAGTATAATACCCCTTTAATATAAACGGGACCAGCATTATGGTTTAAAGTCTTTAGTAACCCTAAGACCCCTTTGTGCAACCGGATCCAACGTATATCATTTGCTAGCACCACTGTATTAACATAGAGGTTATTAATGAATGTTATTAATGGGATATATCGTATAACTGGCACCGAAACGAGTGGAATTCTTTGTTGCCGTGGTAACGATACTCACTGGGTTATGCGCACACTGGTATGTAAACGGTCTTGTCAACAGTAATATGTTTAGTATGTGTTACCAAGGTTACCAGCCAGTATTACGTCACCTGCCTTTGTTGTCCGTTTTGTTGACAATCACTACCTCTGTTAGATAAAGCTTTCTTAAAAAACATGTCGTATTATGTTGTCTTTTCACCATCGTGGCATATGTCACAATTACATCATAATTACAAAACAATATTAATCCAGATAATATACTGGACAAAAATAGTTAGGGCTATATGTACATTTTGAAATTATGAACAATGATCTATTTATTCATTGACACACTGATAAAATATCAATTATAAAATTACCAATATCCCTAACTTATTTTGTCCAATATATAGTCTAAAACGTTGTGTCGAAGACGCGCGTAAATCCTTCGAGTTATCCGAGGTACACAACAGAGTGAGTGAGTGAGTTTGGTTTTACGCCGCTTTTAGCAATATTCCAGCAATATCACAGCGGGGAACACCAGAAAAGGGCTTCACACATTGTACCCATTTGGGGAATGGAACCCGGGTCTTCGGTGTGACGAGCGAACGCTTTAACCACTAAGCTACTCCACCGCCCCCCAGAACAGCAGAGCTATCACTAAACAGGAATACTTAAGACCACGCTTTTACTTCGAGATAAGAGTACGTTCGACACAAAGGTAATTGACTATCTATGACCTTGTTCTTCCTGCGACCCAACTCTGATTGTGGTGCACATTTAATACAAATTAATAAAAAAATAATTATTGGTTTTTCATTATTTCGTCACGCCGAAGACCCGGGTTCGATTCCCCACTTGGGTACAATGTGTGGAGCCTATTTCTGGTGTCCCCCGCCGTGATATTGCGGGAACATTGCTAAAAGCGGCGTAAAACCAAATTCACTCACTCACATGCATGTATGTATGTGTGACTGAGTATTGTTTTACGCCGGGTTTAGCAATGACCAATGAACATAACGCCGGGAAACACCAAGAATTGGTTTCACTGCACAATGTGTCCATGTCGGGAACTAAACCCTGGTTGTCGTCAGGACCGGCAGGTACAACAAACAATAGACTACCCCTCTCTCACCTGTGTGCAGGGACACCCGTGAAGGTCCTGGTTAGAATTGGTCTTCAGTAACACACGCTTGTCGTAAGAGGCGACTAACGGGATCGGGTGGGCATGCTCGCTGACTTGGTTGACACATGTCATCGTATCCCAATTACGTAGATCGATGTTCATGCTGTTGATCACTGGATCGTCTGGTCGAGACTCGATTATTTACAGACCGCCGCCATATAGCTTGAATATTGCTGAGTGTGACGTCAAACAACCAACCAATCAACTGTGTGCAGGGCAGCATATGGAGCCTCACGTTATTCGTTAAATAATGCCGTTTGATAGCACGTCGCAATGAAAATATGTCCCGAAGAAAATGGTATATCACACAGCCACATATTTTGTAGGGGTGACTATTGAGGGGGAAACAACTATTGCGATAACGATAGTCTATTGCAACATGCTATTGCGACCAACTATTGCAATAGTTTTTTCTCCTTGAATTGTTGAATTTGAAGTCATTTCCCAAATGAATGTGTAGTTTATATGAGATAAAAACAAGTTGAAGTAGTTTCAGTCTCTTTTGATAACTGACAAGGAACTTGAAACCCAGATCAAGTAAACAGTTAACAGGGGCGGATAACTCGAATCAAAGTGAACGAATCTGGTACTTCCTGTATTTTGCGCTGCGCATTTAGCAACGGAAGTCAATTACTAAACTATCGATAGTCACACATACTATCAATGCATCGATAGTTTTTCGTTTCTACCATCGGAGACTCAACAATTGCAATCCATCGATAGTTCGATGCATCGTTTCAGCCCTAATAATTTGTAACATACTCACTCCATGCTAAATGGGACCCGTGAAGACCCGGGTTAGAATTGGTCTCCAGCAACCCATGCTCGTCGTATAAGGCGACTAACGGGATCGAGTGGTCAGGCTTGCTGAATTGGTTGACACATGTCATCGTATCCCAATTGCGTAAATCGATGCTCATGCTGTTGACCACTGGATCCGATTGTCTTGTCTAGACTCGAATATTTACATATAGCTGGAATATTGCTGAGTAAGGCAATAAACAACAAATAAACGAACAAACATACTGAATGGTTTATGGGAATGTCTCTACAGACATCATTAACTGTATCCGACTTCATGATCATAAATTCTCCCCAGCGAGACCAGAGAACCTGAGAAAACCTAGACTTGCTCATTTAATAATGTGGTTCAGGGACAGTGAGACAGACTGGGAGGGCTAGGCAGTAGGGAAAATAATATGGTTCAGGGACTGAGAGACAGACTGGGAGGGCTAGGCAGTAGGGAAAATAATGTGGTTCAGGGACTGTGAGACAGACTGGGAGGGCTATAGGCAGTAGGGAAAATAATATGGTTCAGGGACTGAGAGACAGATAAGGAGGGTTATAGGCAGTAGGGAAAATAATGTGGTTCAGGACTGTGAGACAGACTGGGAGGGGCAGGCAGTAGGAAAATAATGTGGTTCAGGGACTGTGAGACAGACTAGGAGGGCTAGGCAGTAGGGAAAATAATGTGGTTCAGGGACTGTGAGACAGACCAGGAGGGCTAGGCAGTAGGGAAAATAATGTGGTTCAGGGACTGTGAGACAGACTGGGAGGGCTAGGCAGTAGGGAAAATAATGTGGTTCAGGGACTGTGAGACAGACTGGGAGGGCTAGGCAGTAGGGAAAATAATGTGGTTCAGGGACTGTGAGACAGACTGGGAGGGCTAGGCAGTAGGGACAATAATGTGGTTCAGGGACTGTGAGACAGACTGGGAGGGCTATAGGCAGTAGGGAAAATAATATGGTTCAGGGACTGAGAGACAGATAAGGAGGGTTATAGGCAGTAGGGAAAATAATGTGGTTCAGGGACTGTGAGACAGACTGGGAGGGCTAGGCAGTAGGGAAAATAATGTGGTTCAGGGACTGTGAGACAGATAAGGAGGTCTAGGCAGTAGGGAAAATAATGTGGTTCAGGGACTGTGAGACAGACTGGGAGGGCTAGGCAGTAGGGAAAATAATGTGGTTCAGGGACTGTGAGACAGACTGGGAGGGCTAGGCAGTAGGGACAATAATGTGGTTCAGGGACTGTGAGACAGATAAGGAGGGCTAGGCAGTAGGGGAAATAATGTGGTTCAGGGACTGAGAGACAGACCAGGAGGGCTAGGCAGTAGGGAAAATAATGTGGTTCGGGGACTGTGAGGCAGATAAGGAGGGCTAGGCAGTAGGGAAAATAATGTGGTTCAGTAAATGTGAGACAGATAAAGGAGGGCTGGGCAGAAGGGAAAATAATGTGGTTCAGTAACTGTGAGACAGATAAGGAGGGCTAGGCAGTAGGGAAAATAATGTGGTTCAGTAACTGTGAGACAGATAAGGAGGGCTAGGCAGAAGGGAAAATAATGTGGCTCAGGGACTGTGAGACGACGGGGGTCAGCAAGACGGCGTCACAAATTGTATCTTTGCGGGGGATCGAACCGTGCCGGCGGACTGAAGAGCTAACGGCTTTAACAGCTACGCTACCTTTTGCGTCATACAGTGCGTGGATGGTGAGTATTGTTTTATGCCGCTACTAGCAGTATTGCCAAGTCTCCAGATTCATGATTAGTTGGGAAACCGATTGGGGTACTACGATGGCTCAATGTTGCTTACCCTGCAAGTTTGATTCAGGCCATACAAACCCATGTCAACTAATATCTAAATACCCCGATGAACATCACTCACTCACTCACTCGGTGTGCATTTACGGAATAGAACTTCCATCCCTATTCCACCACATCCCACCCCAGCATCACCCCGTCAATAGTCCCAGCATCACCCCGTCAGCAGTCCCAGCATCACCGTCAGCAGTCCCAGCATCACCCCGTCAGCAGTCCCAGCATCACCCCGTCAGCAGTCCCAGCATCACCCCGTCAGCAGTCCCAGCATCACCCCGTCAGCAGTCATCCATTCAGCGGAAACTGTACTCATAATAACAGTCTCAATAGGCACTTAGGTTTTTGTGTTAAGTAAACGAACACTTTGCAAAGGAACTAAACATGTCATGTGATTATGTTCTGAACGTCAGCTGTTCGAGGCTCGGATTCCCTCCAGGCGGAGATACGTGACAAATTGAACGACATTCCGTTTCATATACATGTCAGTGTAAATGATGTAAACAGTCTGAAAGCTATGAAATCTACTGGCCGTTGTGTTGAGACTAGACTGACGCTTTGTCTCTGAATATATACTCATGTCAATAATGGTTGTCACCCCCTTCAATGATTTTTATTGGAGTGGGGGTGGGGTGGGGGGTGGTGGGGGGTGACAACCATTATTGGCATGAGTATATGTAATTTTGATTGTAGCAAATAAACCCATTTATATTCAAAAGGAGCCCCAGGGAGACCAGAGATTCAGGGACTAATGACGACCTGAACTTGGGGAAGTCTAGACTTGCTTCATTTAGGGCTTTAGCATTGCAGAGAAGGCTGGGCTGTAGGGAAAATAATATGGTTCAGGGACTGTGAGACAGACTAGGAGGGCTAGGCAGTAGGGAAAATAATATGGTTCAGGGACTGTGAGACAGACTAGGAGGGCTAGGCAGTAGGGAAAATAATATGGTTCAGGGACTGAGAGACATACTAGGAGGGCTAGGCAGCAGGGACAATAATGTGGTTCAGGGACTGTGAGACAGACTATATGGAGACGCGTTTCTTCTTATACGATTGTGTGATTGCCTAGTTACAGCTTGATTCACTTGTTTAATGGTTAAAGTTGATATTATGTATTGCTAAAGCCGCCATAATGCTGATTAAAAGCTTGGTCCTGTAAAGGTGCAAAAAGGTGATACCGCTTTTTTCTTGAAGGAATCCGTTAATGCTGCTCTCTAATATGACTGACTGACTGAGTTTAGTTTTACGCCGCTTTTAGCAATATTCCAGCAATATCACAGCGGGGGACACCAGAAATGGGCTTAACTCTCTAATATGTGTTCAGGTGTTACGATCTTAAAAACGTATTTCTGGCAGCCACTTGTAAATGTAGTTAACAAGTAGAGACAAAACTTATTTGGGTGGTTTTAATGACACGGCTTGATAATGAGTTTCATAACTTCTTTGATAATGTCATTCACGTAATGTTAACACCCAAGTGTGGGTTGGTGACATGTGGCGCACCTGAACACCTGGTGTTATCACTGTTTGATGGTGGTTCATAAACACATGGCGGCGGTGGGGTAGCCCAGTGGTTAAAGCGTTTGCTCGTCACGCAGAAGGCCCGCGTTTGATTCTCCACATGGGTACAATGTGTGAAGCCCATTTCTGGTGTCCCCTAGAATATTGCTAAAAGCGGCGTAAAACTAAACTTACTCACTCACTCACTCACTCATTCACTCACTCACTCATAAACACATGCCCATAATGTAGTCGTACAGTGTACTCTGCTTTTTAGTAAAAGTATGGATCATTTTTTTCTGTTTTTATTTACGAAAATGTCTTTGAGAATGTTGTTTTGACCAGTATTTGCATGACAACAGCACCAGATAAGTAGGCTCACTTAAGTATATTTTATATGTTAGCATTCGGATGATTTCAATAGGTATGGACATTTTCATGGTCGGTCGTATGGGGTAGAGCCTCCAAAGAATATAAGCTTAGCCTCCGAAAATCCAATATGGACGCAATTTGAACACAATGGTCCCCAATTTCTCTTTCATTCTTTACATGTAACTTAATAATTATGGACAGTTTGACCGTTTATAATTTGCATGTTTGTGCTTGCTATTATACGAGTGTTGTTGAGTAATGTTCTTTGATTTTCAGAAACACGAGGCAGCTACCACTTGTCAGTCACAAACGCCTTTCATTATCATTCTGTCAATCAATATACATGTACTTACATAACATACGGTCTAGCCAAGTGCTGCATATACAACGTAGAACTGATATGCAAGGCTTCATGTCTGTTTTTAATGTCGAGTGGGAGTGGCATGTGCTACAAATAAAACAGGACATTTAGTCTCTTTGGCGAACACCGGGTGTCAACACTGATTTTAAATGATGTCTTTATATCATTTCCATCGTCCATTGGAATCTGGTCTTGTTTTGTTTTATAATGGAGGACGGTTGGTCTGACGTGTTATATTTGTAACACCATGCTCGAGAACACCCGGTGTCCTGAGGTTAAATATTGCATGGGGTCAAAAGAACGGGAGCGTTCACTCTCTTACGTTCTGCACCCGTGAATATCCGGGTTAGAATTCAGTAACCCATGCTTGTCGTAAAAGGCGACTAACGGGATCGGGTGGTCAGGCTCGCTGACTTCGTTGACACATGTCAAGGTATCCAATTGTGTATATCGATGCTCATGCTGTTGATCACTGGATTGTCTGGTCCAGACTCGACAATTTACAGACCGCCGCCATATAGCTGGAATATTGCTGAGTGCGGCGTAAAACTAAACCCACTCACTCACTCTTACGTTCTGCGTACGGGTATCTCTAAAATAGAGCAATGTTATTATCACTGATGATGTTGCATCCGCGGTGAAGTAGCACAGGTTTAGTCATCACTGTAGCGTTTCAACGAATTGTCTGCCATTGATAAAAAATTACTCAGTAGAACAGGGACTATATGTTCCACGCTCTGAACACCATTTCAATCTAGACGGTGCCTCTTGTGGGACATTGTCTTTGTGTAATTGAGTTAATAACTGCTTGTACTGGTGTAACAGAGCAACCACAACACTTTCAACACTGTTAAGATTACATGCTGAGATGTAACGAAAAAACCCCGTTCAAAGCAGAGTTACACCCAACTCACTCCTGGGTCTCTGAGTTTATCCTGTCTTTAATGTTACGTGAATTTGTTGAGCCAGACACATATTGCGCTGAAATTGTATTGAATGTGCGTGTCCGTATACTTTTCTGGTCTATGTCAGCGAGTTCTACTATCAAGGCAAACAAAAATTACAGTAATTGCGCTGTTATTGTGTTTATGCACGACTTTCCAGCGACAATAGCTATGTACAACGTGTGGAGATATTCAGTACAGTATGCACCTGTTATACGACCTTTCGCGTTGCAGCAAAAACGCAAATGTTAATTTAACTGCACTTTAGACGAAAGGAACCCCATGAATATAATGTTATTATATGTTATTAAACGTATGTAATGAGATGTAATCACATTGCTTGTACATCAACATACATTGGACATGATGCTTGCACATCAAATTCGTTTTATAATTTTATAGTGATCTTCCCAGGGTATAGTTTAATGCCTGTAACACAATGAATCAGTCAAGACGGCATGCCGGTTCTTAATACCCGGATCGTCAATATGGCCGAGTCAGCACAAATATGTCCTCCCGTGACAAAAAATGCACCGTGTTAGATGCTTGATTGGCATTTTAGAAGATGATATTTGATGAACATAGAGATTTTTCTGGGTTACATCTTCTTTTTATTCTCGGCATGCCGTCTTGACTGATTCATTGTGTTACAGCCATTAAACTATACCCTGGGAAGATCACTATAATAAAAATAAAAATAAAAAGAAGATGTAACCCAGAAAAATCTCTATGTTCATGCACCGTGTTGTAGAGCATTAAAGCAGTAACCATGGACCTGAACAGGTAATCACGGGCAACCAGGACAGTTGGAGAATAATTGGAAAATTGAGTTTAGAAACTGGAGAAGGTTTTAGTTTTACGCCTGTCGTAATCTCATGGCGGGGAAAAGCAGAAACTGGCTTTAATTTCGGGAATCAAACCCTGGCCTTCTATGCTTCTACTCGACACGTTAACCATCAAGCTACCTTCAATTTTAATACAAGTTCATGTTTAAATGTTTAAATACTATATAGTGTGCATTCTCTGAAAATCCTCCAAGATCTCTCTCTCTCTCTCCTCTCTCTCTCTCTCTCTCTCTCTCTCTCTCTCTCTCTCTCTCTCTCTCTCTCTCTCTCTCATGTAAACGAAAGCAATTATGTTATTGATGGATAAACTTCAGCAAATTATACTGACGTTACAAGATAAATACGTAACATATATAGCTGACCAATGTAGCGCAACAGGTGATATATATGATAACTAAGTATATGTCATAGCATGTCATAACGGGTCATAACGCCCAAGGCAACACGTCTTGTCTCCGGGTTCACGTGTACCCAGTTTACCTTTGGCAGTGCACATGTTTCGAGAGCGACATTTCGATACAGATTCTTGTACCACATGGTCTTTTACATTCCTGCTTGACAACGATACAAGAATCTATAACGAAACGTTGCCCACGTAAAATACAGAAGTTTATGCATAAAGTTTGTCTATATTGTACTTCAAAACTTCTAAAATGCCACTCAAAGACGGGCTGAGTAGGGGCAGCTCTTCCAGTGACTGCTAGGCCATGTGTGGTCGACCTGCTACTGTTTGTCTCCTGGACGGTCGCCACTGAAATCTCGAACGGGGAACTTAAATGTAGATTGTGTGTCTGTTTTCTGTACTGCAGGTGTCGTTACTTATGTATGTTCAGGGTACATGGTTTTAATCTTAGATAATATATATCAATAGATTAACTTTACCGGACCAGGTGCCTTTGTTTAATTTGTGGGCTTAGTGGTACTCTCATTTATTAACTAAGAGGTAAATTTTGGCAATGTGCTTGTGTGTCAGTATAGTAGGCTAACGTAGTTTTGCACCATTTACTCACCCAACTAGTGATATTCAGCGAGTGAGTGAGTATAGTTTTACGCCGCTCTCAGCAATATTCCAGCTACATGGCGGCAGTCTGCAAGTAATCGAGTCTGGACCAGACAATCCAGTGATCAACAGCATGAGCATAGATCTGCGCCATTGGGAACCGATGACATGTGTCAACCAAGCCAGCGAGCCTGACACCCGATCCCGTTAGTCGCCTCTTACGAAGTGATATTCAGTGTCCCTTAATTCTGTCAGCAGATTACTAAGTGTAATTGTACTCACCCAAGTGGTGTTAGTTTGTTGGTCTTTTTAACGTCCTTTAGGTGATTTGTAATTAGGCCGTAATTATCACGATAATTAATTGTCACTGACTGGATCATTGCCTGTGTAATTCTGTAATGGTTGTGCCTTGCTATGCGCGTGACGACTGTTGTTCTGCTTGAGTCATTAGAGTAATTACTCTAATTTGTTCATCAAGCAGAGGTGTGTTTAGAGATGTCGCTGTAGCCACTTTTGGTCCAACGCGTGAACATCCGGGTTAGAATTGATCTTCAGTAACCCATGCTTGTCGTAAGAGGCGACTAACGGGATCGGGTGGTCAGGCTCGCTGACTTGGTTGACACATGTCATCGTGAAAGTGACAATATTTCCCGAAGAATGGGGAAATGGTATTAACACAGCCACATATATCATGTATCATACGCACTCCATGCTAAATGGGACCCTTCAAGATCCGGGTTAGAATTGATCTCCAGTAACCCATGCTTGTCGTAAGAGGCGACTAACGGGATCGGGTGGTCAAGCTCGCTGTCTTGGTTGACACATGTCATCGTATCCCAATTGCGGAGATCGATGCTCATGCTGTTGATCACTAAATTGTCTGATTCAGACTTGATTATTTACAGACCGCCATCATATAGCTGGAATACTGCTGAGTGCGGTGTTAAACAACAAACCACCAACCAACTTGTGGTCCACTTGATTGCAATATCTCATGTGTTGTCTTAAAATCTTCAGTTAACAACAACCCTTTGACATCGCATTTCTAGTTATTTTCCACTGGTTTCCTGTGTTATATTTGTGATGACACTTTCTTAGTAAAGTAGAGATTCTAGTACTTTGGGGGTACTCAACCCCTCCGGGATTCGATGGTTTTTAAGACGGTTGAATTACGACTTGTCAATTACCTTGTTATGAGTGAGTGAGTTTAGTTTTACGCCGCTTTCAGCAATATTCAAGGAATATCACGGCGTGGGACACCAGACAAAACGGGCTTCACACATTGTGGCCATGTGAGGAATGGAACCCGGGTCTTCGGCGTGACGAGGCTACCCCACTACCCCACTGCCCAACCAAACTTGATATCAACTGTTTGTTGCCTTTGTTGTGTTCTCAAGAACCCCATACAGAAACCAATAATATTTTTTGACTGCACGTTATCTTGTATATAAAGGAAACGATTGTAAAAAGCACTTGATCCAGGCACGCCCAAGGAAAGGAACTCTTCGCAACGAATTGTCGGAATTAGGTGAGAATCAAGTTGAGAATATGGAAGGAACTCTTCGCAACGAATTGTCGGAATTAGGTGAGAATCAAGTTAAGAATATGGTTAGGTCCCATACTGCCTACAGTTCCAAACTGCCAACAAAAAATATTGTAGGTAGCGTGGGAAATGATTTTTTGCCCTGTAGAATAATGGAACAGCCCGAGTATCAATGAAGAAGGGGTGCTTCGTTTGGAGTAAGGGATAATTAGGGGGATTATATTAGTATATATCTGTGCATCTACTTCTGTGTATAGTATGTTTTGAGTCTTCTTATCCAATAAAGACTACAAGACAATTACAATGATATTGTTTTATTTTGTTTTGGGAAGCAGTTAGCATGCTTATATTGTAACCTCCAAAGCAGGATTAACTTAATCCTATTTGATCAAGTTGGGTAGGCTTGTTTTAACTATGTTGTTACAGGCTTTGACTGTCTTTGTCAGATTATGTCGAAAAACATGGTAAGGACTAAATTGTTGAGAAGATCTTAAACTCCTAATAAATTAGAAGGGGAACCAACTGTATCCATCACACAATGGCAAATGTTCAACGCGTTCAATTCATCACTTCTCAAGCAAGAGGACAGCAAGTTTTCTTTGCTGGGTACCGATATCGCCTCAACGTCAGACGACAGACCACAACACATTGGAAGTGTGTACATTCCGAATGCAAAGGCCGCTGTTCTACAACTGGAGACTTCATGAAATCAACAACACCGTACAACCATGTCCCAGTGGAATCTGAAGATGAGATTCGACTCCTTAGCAGACTGCGTCAGCGTGTACAGGAGCACGTCACATCCATTCGGCAGCTGTACGATGAAGAGTTGTCCGAGGTTGCTGACCCAGCGTCTGTACGATCGTTCTCGAGTATAAAGTCATCCCTCTACCGGCACAGAAGCAAAGTTCTACCAAACCTACCCAAGTCTCTAGCTGATGTTCAACTCGAAGGACCATGGACTCAGACAAAGGTGGACAGCAATTCTTGTGCATTGATGATGGTGACGACGACAAGATACTGGCTTTTGCTTCAGAGGACATGTACTACCAACCAACACTGGTCATGTTTTTGAACTTCTGTAGGCAGAGTGGGAAGACACCATAGAATTAACAAGCTAACTAGTCAAGTTTATATTAGCAGGGGTAGAACAGGTCAGATCGGTGTATTCACTTCCTGATCACTGGACCGTATCATGTTGTTTTAACCTGTAGGCAGTGTGGGAATACACCGAGAATATATCAGTTACCAGCCAGGCCGGGAGAGCAACACCAACAGTGATTTTGTTTCTCAAATGTCTCTTGACTGACATATTTAAAACATAAAGTTTGAAAATTAATATTGAAAGATATCATTTGTTGGAAATATCATCTTGAAACATATGTGTTTCATATTTAGCATGTGATAGGCGCCATGTGAAATATGCTAATCAAAGCCTGGCTCTGACGTGAGTCATTTCCTAGATTTGTAGATTTCATGATAAGCAATACTGCAAAACTCCATACCGTTTTAGCTATAAGTTAACATGAATACATGCACTGTTCTGAGTTTATAGCTCTCGATCTGCGCAACAAGGACTGCGTGTACTCCAACAAACCTATGCATATCGGTCTGGATGTTAGCGTTGAATAATGCAAACGTTTTCCTTTTTAATTGACGAACGAGTCTAGACATGGCGACATTTACAACATCAATGCTGTATACAGACGACTGGTGTATCTTAACGGGTATTTCAATGTATGTTTTCAAGCTTGTCACGAAATAATCTCATTGTCTACAACATTATCTGTTAAACATAATTCCACATTTGCCACATCGCCAGAGGCTGCCAGAAGGACCGCTTATTTTACCATATTGTCTGTAATGACAAATTAGTTATACTGCTCTGAATGTCAGCAAGGGTCTGGTATCATTATGATAATGTTCATTTTGCCAAACCGGCTATCCCCGAAATGTTGCCAAACCGGATCCGGATACACCGCGATACTGACTGAGCAGAATAGCTCTGTATTGTCTTCGCTATTGTTCATGACGTCGAACTGGCTGATAACTCAAATGTTGCCATATTGATTTTGTTGCTGAACAATTTTGTTCATGACGTCGAACTGGTTGATAACCCAAATATTGCCACATTGGTTTTGTTGCTGAGCAATTTTGGTCATGATGTCGAATTGGCCGATAACCCAAATATTGCCACATTGGTTTTGTTACTATGTAATTTTGTTCATCACGTCGAATTGATTGATAACCCAAATGTTGCCATATTGATTTTGTTGCTGAACAATTTTGTTCATGAAGTCGAATTGGTTGATAACCCAAATGTTGCCATATTGACTTTGTTGCTGAACAATTTTGTTCATGACGTCGAATTAGCCGATAACCCAAATGTTGACTCATTAGGTTTGTTGCTGAACAATTTTGTTCATGACGTCGAATTGGCCGATAACCAAATGTTGCCACATTAGTTTTGTTGCTGAATTTTTTTTGTTCATGATGTCAAATAGACTGGTAACCCAAATATTGCCACATCGGTTTTGTTACTATGCAGTTTTGTTCATGACGTTGAAATGGCCGATAACCCAAATGTTGCCATATTGGTTTCGTTGCTGAACAGTTTTGCCCTTGATGTCGAATTGGCCGGTAACCCAAATGTTGCCATATTTGTTTTGTTACTGTACAATTTTGTTCATGACGTCGAATTGGTGTTCCCCAAAATGTTACCAGAAATATTCTTTTTTCTCGACAAAAATGAAAAATGATAATGACCTCAGAGTACACGATACTTTACCCGAGTTTTGTTCATGCCTAGAAAATCCACCACAGATACCAGTTTCTAAACTTGCTTCGTAAACGTGGTAGTTTATGCATGTTATGCTGAACATGAAATTGAGTGTAAATATCTTTTTTTTTGTTTAACAGTCCAATCTGCAACCGATACAATCTGGTTCCACATGAATATCTGCCCAAAGTTAGTCATTGGGGGCTGTGGGTCATCAAACCATTCGCTCGTCACGCCAAAGACCCAGGTTCGATTCCCCACATGGGTACACTGTGTGGAGCCCATTTTTGGTGTCCCCTGCCGTGATATTGCTGGAATATTGCCAAACGCGGCGTAAAACTAAACTCCCAATTGCGTAGATCGATCCTCATGTTGTTGGCACTGGGTTGCCTGGTCCAGACTTGATTATTTACAGACCTCCGCCATGTAGCTGGAATATTGCTGAGTGCGGCGTTAAACAACAAACAATCACAACCAATCCGTTTCTGTTTCGGAAAAGATAAGTGAGTGTAGTCGTCAAAGACTACGCCAACGCTGTCATCGGAGGGCAAGGTCACTATCGGAAAAAGGGAAGATAACCGTGATCTACACTCAGCGTTTTACGTTAGACCACAACACGAAATGTTATTCTAGACATGGACTGACTGACTGACTGAGTTTGGTTTTACGCCGCTTTTAGCAATATTCCAGCAACATCACGGCGGGGAACACCAGAAATGGGCTTCACACATTGTACCCATGTGGGGATTCGAACCTGGTCTTCGGCGTGACGAGCCAACGCTTTAACCATTAGGCTACCCCACCGCACCTAGACATGGATGTTTTGGGCCATGAAATCAGAAGTGAGACAGCTTTCACCAAGTTTTCGTATGACTTGAATTGGAAATGCACTGGCTGTTCTCATCGTGCAGTCGTGTTTATTAATCATCAGCAAACACTTTCAGAGACTGCCTCCATATATGGACCCCAGAGGGCGCTATTGGCGTATCTGCAACATCAAACCTGAGTCGAAATATCGGTCAAAATATTAAACAGACATCATTTTACCACGCTTAACATTCAATCAAGTTTTAGA